GCAAAACGGTGTAGCGATGTAAAACCCTCCCCACAAAAGATGCTGTTGGACGAAGAGTGTTTTCAAAGAATTATGACATCCCCAGGGGGAAGGAATTGCACAGTGGGTGCTATTAAGAGCATATTCCCTGATTTATGGCAGTTGCTTTCAAGGTAGCGATTCTGCTGCTTAAGGCATTGCTCGGTGGTAAGCTGTATCCGAGCACCGTAAACGCTAACTTCTTAATGGTGCATGCTGTAAACAGCATTAACGTTTTTAATGGATAGAAGCACTCATCTCATAACCCACTGGGGCCCAGAAAGATTCAGTGACCCTGCCCAGCCTTTCTGCTGTGCTAAAAGGTCCAGCAGCTGCAGCGACTCCCCCACCCTCCTGCGTCTGCTGGGGTGAAGCGAAAGTGTGCAGACCTGTGCCTGGCAAACCTTCAACAGCTAGAAGGTCAAATAAATAAACAACCCTGGCATCAAAGCACGTAGAGGCCCTGCAAGGGATGTAGGTTGTCTGGTTTGTTCCAGTTTACCCTTTAAGCTGGCATTGGGAAGTAAATGCTGGCCCTGGAGAGTGAAGGGAGAGGGCGAGAGACTCCACTCTGAATGCTCACGGGGCGTTTTCTCTTTAATTTGCACACAGTGTTGAAAAGAGCTGCAATAAAGAAGAGCAAAAATGACCTGATTCATGCTGAAGAAGGTGAGGACCATTTCACAGACATTTGCTCCGTTGGTGAGTACTGGCTTTGCATTCCCCGAGGTTTAGATCTCCACCTAAACGTGTTCATGTCATGTTTCCTCCGAGTGGCCCCCTTGCTCCAGAAGCTGCAGTTTCAAGAAGGAAAATTATAATTGCTGCTGCAGCAGCGCTCAACTTCCCAAAGCAAATGGCTTTGTGGCTTCAGCCTCTCCCTGATGCTGCCCTGCTCAGCTACTGCATGCTGCACCCTTTCAAAGAGCCCTGCCGAAACGCTTGGAGAATCTGTGCTGTTGGCCACGCTGTGATTCTGCTTGGAACGTGCTCATTCACGCTAAGGAAACCCAAATATGTCAAACGATGCTGCTAAGCCTCATCTGCAGAAGGGAGGAGAGGAAGTGGACACTGAGTCACATCTGCCACTAATGCACAGCGTGTGGTTTTGCAGCCTTTGCTGTGTGAATGGTTACTGGGAAATGCTGGGCAGCGGCCCCAATTCTCTCATTCTTGCCTTAGAAGATCCTAAAGCAGTTCTCTGCCTTTTTAGCACCTGTGTGCATGCAATTACCCACACACCTCCAGTGCAGAGTGTGGCATCCTGCGTAGTGTAGCACTGATGGTGTGAATTTGGTATCTTCAGCTCTGGAGAACAAGACGCTGTTGGGCTACAGGGAGACCTAGATCCCTCCTGGGACGTTGCCAGGTGGAGAGGCAGGAAGAAGGTCTGGGGTTTGCAAGGGGAGGCAGGCTCTGAGCACGCAGCACCCCGTCTCAGGGGAGCTGTTTGGACATCAGCAGAAAGATCTTTCCGTCATGGGCTTTTACTTTCTGGCTGGGGAGACGTCTTCCTGACTGCTTTGGAGTTAGGTATTTTGCTTATTCCTGTCCCTGTTGTTTGAATCTGCATTTTGTTTTGCTGCTGAAGCAGCAGATGTTCTCATTATCTTCCAAAGAAATATCTTGGCACCCCTGTTACCACGAAGCAGCGAATCCTGGATGCATAAGAGTAGCAGCAGAAACAGCACATTTGAGAGTACATGTCCATATATGTTTGCAACCATGAGTGCCTCAAATGCTCTTTGGAAATTTGGCATTAACGTTTTAAGAGATTACAGCTGCTGCTGGATTCTTTTTTTCCCTTTAAACGAAGACCTGGTTGCAGGAAATGAATGTTGCTCAGCATGTTACTGACACCATCACCCACTGTGGAGCTGCCACAGTCCCCCGGGCTGAGCGGGCTGCAGGTTTTGTGGCTGAACTGCTGACGCTTGGATTAGAGGTTTGTTGCTGAAAGAGGGCAAAAATGCAGCAACCGTGTGCATTTTTGTTTTGTTTTACTCTGAGCAGCTCGGATCTCTGCATGGATAACAAGGAAGGGTCATTTTCGGAACATTTGTTTGTGGTTGCAGTAATTATGAGATCTTTGCGTTCGCATCCAAGTCCCTCCAGGCTCTGGGCACCCATGCCACGCAAACAGATCTTTGAATTCAGAGTTTCAGGTGGCAACGGATGACGGAGCATCTGGGCTCGTGGATAATCTGAGGCAGAGCTGGGAACTGTCTCGGGAGCATATGGCAGGGAAAATAACAGCAGTGCTTACCACCTTCTGCGAGTGGTTCAGCCACTTGGGAAAAGTGTTTTTGGTTTTTATTCATGGAGCAAGGCAGAAAAGAAGGAATGGATAAAGCAGATAGTTCTGCAGGCTCCTGAAAAGGCTGAAACTCTGCATAACATAAACAATCAGATCACATGGGCAATTATGCACAAAGAATATGTTTTTGAAAAAAGGATTTTTTGGATGGTTTTCTATAACATCTTGCTGATGGGAGCATAAGGAGCATGGAAGAACTAACAATATAATTACTGAGGGCAACGCGAAGATGCCGACCACAGCGGTAGACACTTTGACAGGTCTCTTGCTGGCCATCGACTGCATACGTTGCACTTTAATTCAAACACAAGTACCTCAGTGAGCCTTATAATTGCATTATGAAGCTCTATAGTGGTAAACACTTCCCAGTGAGTTCTCTGGAGTTGTTCTTAACATTTATTCTTCTCTTTCCTCCTAACTCTCAGCCTTTCTTTCTGCACTAATAAGTGTGCAGCAGTAGGTGCTGACTCCTTCTGGCTTCCCACCCTCTACGCTCTACCAGACACAGGACACTATTGCCAGACAACGAAGCCTGGAGAAGTGGATGTTTCCTACATTAGATCAGTTTAAATACTGCTACTTTTCTTTTCTGGAAGATCAGTAGAAAGGACATGAAAGGGCAGCAGGCTATTCCCATGCAAATCTGAGAGTGTAGACCGACTTGAATATCTGAGAGGTCTTTACCTGCTAAACAGAATTACAGTATGGCACAGCCTATATCTTAACCTGCAGTTCGTTTTGTTAAAGCAACAGATAAGCACGATGATGTTTATTTATTTTTTTTTTAAACTGTCAAAGGGAGAATTGTCAAACTAACAGAACCACAGCACATGGAGTTTTTCTGCAAGGAGTTTGCTCAAAGCCTGGCCAGGGCCAGCTCTGTGTTTGACGGATGGCCAGAAATGTGAGATGGAGCAGAGAGCTTTCTTTCTCTGGGGGAGATGGTGCAGCACGCTCTTGTGTAGCTGTGAGGCTTGGAGAACCCATTGCTGTCACAGCTGGATGCTTCATCCTTCATCCTTTCCATGGGTGCTGTGTTTGTTGTTACTGTGGGATGAAACAAGGTGAGATTTCCACCCCTTCCAAGTGTCGAAATGTAAGTGAGCACACTCAAAAATTTGGCTGCTGCAGCCAGAACACTTTGTTCACGTAACTCAGCCATCTCCAACGCCAACCCCTGCAAGTCATCCGCTCTCACGGTGCTTGGTCCGAGGCAGGACGGTGCATGTCCTGGTCAGCCCTACCTGCTGGGAGGCTTCGTCCCATGATGGGAAAGGGCAGTAGCATATTATTTTGCTCCAAACCATCTTGAAACAAGGTTTGTTAGCAGTTTCTGAGGGGTGCCAGCCCAGCATGAAACAGGTAGTGAACAGCCTGCGGCAATCACGAATTTCCCCGCTTGCAACAGCGTCTGCGGCTGTTGCAGAGGATCTCCAACGGATGCACGTGTTTGTTTCTAACATGTGCTGATTTCTCCTGCCTCAGCACTGGCCGGAGATTGCCTTTTCATCATTCGTTTCTACAGTGCCTGCTACCGCAGGGGGAGAGCTTACATTAGAAATATTTTCTTCCGTCAGCTTCCTATTGTTAAAACGTTTGACTCTCCTCCAGGGTTTCAGACCAGACTCAAAATGTAGCTGATACAGGCAGAATTGATAGGAATGAGTAGCTGCGCCCAAAATATGATGCATGGAGGCAGGTTGAGCTTTCTGCTGTGGAAATACATGAAGTTGGAGAGTCAAATAAGGAGACTTCACTCAATTCAGTAGTAAGGGCTGGATCTTTGCCTGGTCCTTGGACCAGCTTTCCTGTTGCCAGCTACCCAGCTCCAAGAAGATGTGCTCCACACCACAGGCAGAAGTACCACTGTGCCTGGTGCTTTCTGTCCCTCCGGTCAACTGGAAACCTAAAAGTTATGAGTTAAAATGGGACAATCAAGATTGCTTCAAGGGGTCAGAAGCCTGATTTCTTTAGATGGTGGAGCTGGACATTCATTCATGTAGTTTTAAAAAATCCCAGTCTTCACCCTCACGATGTCATTGCAAGCAAGATGCCCTTGCTCAGCCCATTGTCAGTGCCTCCAGCTTTCTGCTCAGCCGTGTTTCTGGTGCTTGGGAGAGGGTCTGTGTGCCCAGGAATGTCCTCCATCCTTTCACCTGCTGGAATGTGGTGCGCTGACTCTTCTTTCTGTCCCAGGGTCTCCTTTTGCCCGTGCCAGTTTGAAGAGCGGGAAGAATGAGAGCTCGTCCTACTTCAGGAGGAAAGAGAAAATGTTCCGGTTCTTCATCCGACGCATGGTGAAAGCTCAGAGCTTCTACTGGATCGTCCTCTGTGTGGTCGCCCTCAACACGCTCTGCGTTGCGATGGTGCACTACGACCAGCCGGAGAAGCTTACCACTGCGCTGTGTGAGTACCGGGGACTCCACCTTTCCTCTGACAAGTTCTGACAGCTTTGATCACTCGTAAGGTCTGGTTTTTTGGCTTCCTACGCATCCCGCAGAAGAGGGTCAGAAACGCATTAATGAGTGATTCTGGTAACTTGAGAGTAATTGAGTCATACAATTCAGGAGAAATTCACCAGGACATGATAAAGATTTGAGATGGGAATGCGATCCTAAATATTATCCGAAGATTCATATTCAACCACATTTAAGTCTTGTAACACTGCAGGAGAATTTGCTTTGTAGCAGGCTTTATGAAAGGGGAGAGAATAGCTCTGTACGTGGGTAAAAGTAAGTTTCTGTTTAATCACCATCTGCCCAGAGAACTGCAGAATTCATGTCACTTTGCAGCCGATCTGTATCCATGCATGTTTTCTGATGTGGACATACTTAAAGCTCTGCCAGCGGTGATGTCCCTGGCAATGGCTGGTGCTACTTGGGAGATAAAAATGTTTATCTGTGCTTAGAGAATCATACAGTGATTCACAACAGTTGTAGCAATTGTTGTCGTGTCCTTTAAAAGGTTGCAACTTTACAAGAAGGTCTTTTTCAATAATCGTGTCTTCCTCACTAATGGTGTGTGATCAGATGGGACAAATGTCGTGATGCCCTTCTGTGAAAATAGTGCAGTGGTGGTAGAAATAATACCATACAGAAGATTATACTATAGTTTGCAAAAGCTTTTATTTTAGCTTGATTCCTGTGGTCACCTACCAATTTAGGCTTCAGATAGTCTATAAGTACTTTTGAAGTATTTTTTTTTTTAAATTACATATTGTTCTGTCCTGTGATGAATAATCAATGAAGGCAATCCGAGCCTTTACACATCGTGGTGTTACGCTGAGGTTGCAGCCTTGCTTATAAAGCCTGTTTTAAAAAAATGTGGAATGTGAAGGAGAGAGCTTTTTTCATTTTTTTTTTAATGAAGGTCATAGACTATGAGTCCTAGAGCTCAAAATCTTGTAGCAATATGGTGACACTGGACATGGGACACTGCAAGTTTACCCTTCCGAAGGGAAGGGATGGAGAATTTTTTTCTGGAAGACAAAGCCATTTCATTGGCCACTTCTGAATCTACAAAATGGCCAGGGACAAATCTTTTGTTCAGTACTTGATATGCAGATATGGCTAGTTGTGAATTTGTTAAGTAAAGCTTCTGAAGCAAGAGAACAGAAGATTAGGGAAAAAAACCCAAAATGTTTCAAACAATTTGGCTTAATAACTGTGGCTTGGATCATTAAAGATACTTATCTACCTGATTTTCATTGATTTCTATATAAATTAGATACTTAAATATTTCTAGCCCCAGGTCCTCAGATCTTACTTTATTATAAGGAAGCAAACTTTTGAAGTTTTCTTTTACAGACCTAAAAGGTCAAGAATATTAGCTGCTCTGACTTCAAAAAACTCCCTGTTAATGGTTGCTGAAATATTTAATACGACCAGGTAACTGGAGCTATAATGAGAGATGCATAAGAAGGACAGAAGCTTCTTTCAACTCTTTTTTTTTCTTTTTTTTTTCCCCTCAAGATTTAGACTGCAAAGAGAGACAGACTACACAGAGAAGTCAGTCTTGCTTATTCATTTCCTAAATTTAACAGAGGAAATAATAAGCTAGATTGGCAGAGTAATTAGAAGTTTGAGGCTTAGGATTTCCTCTTTGATTTGGACTAAATGTCTAGAGAAAAACCCACTTCAAGTCTTTCAACTCAAAAAAAGAAAGGTTTAGATTTCCAAACTCAGTTTTGGGAACACCTTATGCAATAACTTTTCTAAGAGAACATTAAGAAATCCATGAGCCAGCAGCTTCTGTTAATATTCATATGAGAGCTGGAAGGGATGTTTCTGTTGGTGAGAGTTAAAAATACACCTCCAGGTGGGAAACGTGTCTGGGACTGAGGCCATGAATTAGGTGCCTGACCTCCCTCAGCTTATGACAAAGAATAGGGAAGGTTGAAACTGTGTTGTGCCTGGGATCAGGGATTGGGGTGGATCCTTCTTTCAGGCTCTGGATGTGTCCATAACACTCAGTATCGTGAATTAGTTTCAGAAAAACTTGAGCAGCATATTTAATTTCTTGATGTTAGGGTACTACCTAGCTAAGAGTGAGTGATCCTCTTGAGTTATTTTAATTGAAAAATCAGGAAAACACCAAAGAACTATGTGTTTTTAGGAGTTAAATCCTCAGTGTTCTACCAGCCATAGGTGCTTTGCTGTGTCTTGTCTGCCCTTTGCATATCGTCGCATCATTGCACTGCCATTTACTGTAAGACTTGAGTATGTCCTTTGTCAACAAGGAAACACCTGGGCAGGTGTTTCACAAATCAATCTCTTAGATTCACTAAAAAACATACTAGTGGCTACAGATAAACACTGTTAGAAACAACTCCGTAATTGGTGAGGGCAACATAGAGGTGGGTCACAGGCAAAATCAGAATATCTGAGGACTTGCAGGTGTTGTGGATGTTCTTGAATAGGTATAAGTATGGGGTCTTTAAAGAGAGTGGTACAAGATTAGCCACCATGACTTAGAGAATAAAAGCCAGACATGCAGAATGAATGATTGTCATGGAAATTCTAAGATACTCCAGATAATTTTCTTTTATTGTGGTGTTGGTTTTTTGTTTGTTTGTTTGTTTTTCCCTCCAAAGACAATTTTATCCAAGACAAGAAGCAAAGGTTCCATGGGTTCTGGGGAGGATTGTCTTTGGTCTGTCTTACGGCATATGTAATGGAAACTCTGGGAAGAAACCTATTTTGATGTAATTTTAGGACAAAGAGCTTCTGAGAATTGTCCACTGAAAAGGCTTATAAGTTCAACCCCTTAAATTACAAGAGTCTGTACCTCCAAACCCTCCCAGCTTTTCAGGATGTTGAGCTGTAGTACTGTATTCATACCTGTCTTCGCATTGGTAATACCCTAAAGGCTTCTACCTGCTTTCCTGGGGGATAGTCTAATTTGCATAACATAATTTTTCCTACTAATCTAAAGATTAGTGTTGAATGCAAGGAATATTTTACGCCTGAAGGTACATGGGACTTTGTGTGGACTATGCAATCATGGTAAGACTGGACTTGGCCCCTCTCATTCCTGCACACACTAAACCACAGCCAGCCTCATTAACCCCCCAGCACACACGTTTGTGAAGGAGCCAGATGTGGTTTAGCTCTCGAGGGAACGCTCCTGAAGGCCCTGCTCTGCCCGAGATTCATGCACAAACCCACTAGATTTAGGCAGAACAAGATAGTGCAAAACCACAGGATTTGAAACCAATCCTGGAAACACTTGGCAAAATCCTTTAACTGTAGGAGCGACAGAGTTTAAAAATGGTTTTAAAGTTAATCCCTGATGAGTGAACTTTGCTACAAAGGAGCAGGACTTGGCTAGTCTGATGTAGAGCAGGAGAGAAGTAGCCAATTCTAATTATGGTGTTTCATGGAAGGTACTTGGAAATGACCTGATGAGGAGTTTTGGGAACTGTAGCAGCGGGAGAGGAGAATGGTAAAGTCAGGGAGGATCTGCTAAACCCTGAAATTCTACGCAGGCACCTCTAATTCAATTATACCTGTCCCTCCGGGGAAAAGTTTAATTACATTACAAATTAATTTTAGTTAAAGAATGGTTGGCTTTTGCCTACGGGTTTGCATTGATTTATTTTTCCCTTGGTCTTTTCTTTTTAACTTTTCTGCTGTTGAATTGTTCTGATTAACTTTCCCTGCTTGATATTCCATATTGCCGCAACTGTTTCGAAAAAGGATCTGTAGGAGCTTTAGAAAGGGGCTTGGGATTTCTTTAGTCTTACTGAAACAGCTGATGAGAAATTCGTTGAATTCGTGGGGTGTGGTGAAGAACAGGACATACTTTATGCCCCTGTAATTATCCTCAAATTAGATCAGAGATTTTCCTTCTCTGCATGGAAAGGACTCCAGTGCCACATTGCAACAGGAGTTTTCTCATACTGCACGTGGATTCATGGCATGTTCTTCTCACCAAAGCATGGACCTTAGATTGAATAAGTTGCAGTTCCTTATAAAAGTATATATTTCATGCAGTCACCCATGATTGTTGTCTGTTGGTGGTAGTTTTCACTATTGCTGGTGTTCTCAGAAAAAAAAAAGAGACTTCTGTCAGAAGACAACTCTGTAATCCAGCATCACTGAGACTTGGTAACAGCAAAGGTGCATCTTCAACTGTGAGGGCAACAAACCAACAAAATCCCTAATGTGGGCACGCAGTGGAGGTGCAATGTTAAGGGTTTTTCAGTCAGGGCTGTGCCTTTTGGAAATGTGTGCTGGAGCAGAAGTTGCGAGCCCAACGTGGAAACAGGTGAATGCATTTCCGTGCCCTGTGCTGTGCAGGAGGCTGGCAGAGATGGTGGTGGTGGTCTGCTCTTCCTCTGGCCAATGCTGTGGAAGAAGGCTGGAACCAGAACTCTCTGATCTCCCTGGGGCAGGCTTTAGGGGCCATGGTGAGAAGATTTTAGGATTGGATCAGTCAGGTTTCACTTGGGAGCTCTCATCAGGCTGCCCTTCCTGAAGCAGCTCCCTCTGTGTTTCTCCAGCTAGCACTGCAGTGATCCTTAACTTGCTCCTCAATTGATATCTGCCTAAAACCAAGATCCAGAATGTCTCCTTTCTGATAAATACAATACTTGAAAACAGTGTTTTAGTTGTTGTGGCCTGAGAACGTCTTCCTTGTGTGCCGCCTGATGCTGAACCATGTGTTTGGTGCAATTAGGCCTCTCTTGATCATGTTGTATTCACCTTTGAAGTAGGCAGCCAGCTCCCTCTGGATATAAATGTGCAGCGTTTGCAATTGCGAGGAAAAGGCTTTCTGAAGCGAGCGTATTTATTGATGTCTGCTGAACGTTTCACGTCTGCTTTGTCGGAGAAGGAAGTTGTACTTCGCTGCGGTTCTCCGCCTGGTTGGTTTAATGTATGAGGAGGATGAACCCAGGAAACCGAAGCGGCAGGCTTGGCACCTGCTCCTAATGACATCGGGCTTGGGGACAGGCCAGAAATGGAATTAATCCGTGGGTGATTGACAAAAAAGAGCCACTAACTATCTAATTCAAACATACGGGGCAAAGAGATGCTAACATGGCCTTTGCCAATAGCACAAATTTGACATTAAATAAGAGTATTCCTATCAACCTTTTTTCCTTAAATCACATTACAAAATGCTTCTGCTTAAAGCAGATTAAATTACGTATGGGGTCTGAATACCAGGAGGTCCAAACAATGAAATTACGTTTTCGATTCTATGGGCAGGGCCATGTCAGAAGAAATTGTGTTTCTGGTCCATCCGCTGGAGAAGCCAATTCATTTTGAGTCAATTCCCTCTGCCCAAGGAGTTCACTATGTTCATATTTTCCTTGCCTCCACCCCTTGCCCTCACACTGTTATGATTTGTAGCACTAATATCTGCTGAAACCCAGCTATCGCTGCCTGGTTTGAACTCTGCTCTTGATGTCGTCAGCTGTGAAAGAACAAGTTGAGAGATTCAAGAGCAGCAGAAGGAAGTTGTTTCTTGGATGCTCTGAGTTTCTAACATTTCCTGTTGTTTATCTGGGTGGTTTTTTTAAGCATGTATTTCTTAATTCTGTTTTATGTAGGGCATTAGCTACCTTTTTTTCTTCTGTGGTATTCTGGATTTGCATGTGTGTTTGCAGAATGTGTCAGTCCAGTGATGGAACATTGCACTGGTTGACACCTGGTTTGTGTTCATGCTTCTACTGGATGGGTGACTGAACGTTAATCCTTGTTTCTCTCCTCCTTTTTCTTCTTATGAAACAGTGGTAATTGTCTTGGCAAAGTGCACTGAGATCTGTTGGTGAAAATCACAGTAAACCTCCCTCACGTGCTATTTTTGTTATTCTGTGAAAGAATATGGGGCGTACCTGGAGAGTAACTCTGAAAGGTGGGTCTGGTGGATAGATAAGAGGATAAGAACGTCCCTGCCAGAGTAAGACATGACACAGGTGGAAGGTGTGCAATGCTTTCTGTAGGTCTGGTCTACAACCCCTCCCTACGATTTTAAGTTTTGCCTGCCAGCTAAGCAAGGCCACCAGTTTCAAAGCTCTGGTTGCTGTCGATCCTTGCAATAGGGAGGCTTTGCACTGAAGTCGTTCCAGTAAGCACCATTGGCTTGCTGGGCTCTGCTGAGCGTGAAACCAAAGATGGGAGTGATAACTTCCCAGCAAGGGGGAGACTCTTGTCAGCACAAACACTGGTGCAAGCTTTACTCTGGGCTAATGACTGAAATAGGTGACAGCAGCAGCACAAATTCTTCCACACCCAGAGAAGATGCATCTGCTTTTTTTGGGGAGATTTGCCTTCTTTTCTTACAATTTCTGAAGTATGTAGGGTGTGGTATGGAAGTTCAGGATCTGGCCTGGAAGCTAGTTTAAGCTTCTGATTTACAGGGCCAGCTATTAATAATTTAGGATTTTAACATTCTTACTACTTAACAATTGTGATCTTTTTAATTATGTGCAAGGATATTCAATACCACTGAACACTTGTGTTTTAAAAATTCTGTGTTTTTATATTATTGGGCTTGTCAATCAGCTCATTTTATGCCTGACATTGGTTCGCCTGATCCCTTTCTCCCACCCTCTGCACTTACACAGTCAGATGGATTGCCAGGGTAACTGTGGGTAACTCCCTATTCTGGGATCCCTTGTGCTGGAAACAACTGTTTACTCACTGAGCTGTTGCATCTGATGACAGAACGGAGAGAAAAGTTGTAGCGTGGTGCAGGTGTGAACATACTTCTTCTACCAAGTTCCAAGCTCAAAGGGAGATGGAGGTGTGCTGCTCCTTCATGTGACCATGCCTTCCCCCGAGCACTGAGATGCAGCGGATGGAGCCTACCTCTTAGTAGGAAAAAGGCTGAGAAGTCTGCAGACCTCATACTTTGTCATCTTATTCCTCAAATGTGAACACTTTGCCTTTTATAGTCTCCTTTAATGATATTGCTCCTACTTTCAAGGAGAGTAGGCTACATGGTATAATTAATACCCTCTTGGTATTTCCTCCCTTATTGCAAATATTGGCAGAAGTGTCCTTGTAGGCTCCTCACTGAAGTGTTAATAAAAACTTTCTCATCTAGTTAATGCTTCCTGGATTTCAGTTAACATTATACCCATGATATTTCATGACTGTCTTTCATTTAAAATTTGAAACCCCTTTTTATTTTTTGATAATTCACACTGTATTTTTCAAGCAATTTCAACAGACAAGCAGCAACGTGAGATGGACCTGGGCCAGCCACGCTCACTCCATGTAAACGTGCAAGGCAGTGAATGGAGTGAAGGCCATGCAGTCTGAAAGGACCCTCATTCCCTCCTCTCTCCCCACTCTCGTTAGCTGAAGCCACCTATTGCAGGTGTACAAAGCACCTGAGATTTCAAGATTCTTGAATCAAGAGTCTTGCTGAAATATTCCTTATTGCCACCTGTATCCGTTACCACTTGTCTGTTCGTGTGCACCTTTGAGAAAAGTTTGGCACCGTCTTGTCTTTACAGTTCCTGGAATCGTAAAGCTGAAATTTCAGAAGACGACTTTCCTGTAGCATCTGCGCTGCTACAGCATCCAAGAACTTTCTGTAGTGCACTAAACAACGTGATTAATCTCCACCCTTTGAAGTTTGATTTTTTTCCCTCATCTTTTCTCTAGAGGGAGAGGTTTGCCTTATGCTAAATTGTTTGTTTTGGTAGCGTAGAGGGTTTTTTTTGCCCTTTGTGGCTTTATTTTTAACATTCCATACTTTCTGTTGCTCATCGGCCTCCAGATCTAAACTTGCATGACTTAAAATGCCAAGCTTCATCTGGAAATTGAAGTCTCCAGCTATGTTCTTTCTGCTCTTTGTCTCATCATAGGTGATAAATTTTCCCATCAAAAGCTTCACAGCCTATTTGCGTGTGATATGTGAAGCAGAAGGAAACAGAACTTGCTCTTCCATAATTATATGGTTATACAGGCATAATAAAAATAAATGTGGCTATGTGTTAGCAGTAGACACAACACCTCTGAACATGAGCTCTCGGAGGCAGCAGTTCTGTTGAGTATGAAGGTATTTTTATCATCAGAGGATGTTACAAAAGCTTACACCCTGCTCCCAAAAGTGCCTGTCTCGTGTAGGTACCAAAGTTCCAAACACACATTTGCAGAACATTGTATGTGCAATTAAATTAGACCTTTAGAAATATTAGATCCAGAGCTTTCTTTTGAAATTCCTTTGCAAAGACAATGAGAATGTTATTTAACGCTCATACCAGCTTTCCCACAGCGCACATGAAACATTGCCTTCACAGTTCTTGAAGCCTGACTACAGCTCATGTGCATATAGAAATAATTATGCAAAACTGTCCTCAGGGTCTTGTTTGCCAGTGCAAAGGGATTTTCTTCTGGCATGAGGCAGTCTGTGTTGTGAAAAATTACCATTGTTCCCCTCATGAAGGGATCTGCCTCCCAAGGTCTTGTGAACTAATTTAATGTCTTTTCCTGTTTCCAGATTTCGCAGAGTTTGTTTTTCTGGGTCTCTTCCTTACTGAGATGTCTCTGAAGATGTACGGACTGGGGCCAAGAAATTACTTCCACTCTTCATTCAACTGCTTTGACTTTGGGGTGAGTTCGGGTTCGGGTGTGCGAATGAAGTGTGTGGCTCTCCCGTCATTGAATGGGATTGAGTGTTTAAGGGTGAATATGGGAATCCATGGGAAATGGTGCTGTAAGTGTGTCTTCTGCGGGGAGTAGTCATTGTATAAATTAGCTGCAGTGAAACACATTAAGCTTCCTGTAGTTATCATCCTTCTTGAAGAAATGTGACAGCTGGGGATTTCATTTCCTTGGCGAGCTACAGGGTGTTCGCAGCATCAGCACCAGTAAATGCTCTGATTACTGAGAGATTCTCTCTCCCATTTAAATGAGGTGACTGAAAGACAAAAACCCCACACATCTTATTGCTCATCTCCCCTATCATCCACTTAATGGCCTTTACCTCAAGATACAGAGGCAGCACTTTTCAGACTTTGAGTGCCCAGAAGTAGAAGTGTAAACACGTGATTAGGTGACAGAAAGGCAATAACTCACATCCTCTATGTCAGAAGTAAAGGCTCTCCACTTCGTGCTAAAACTCTAGCTTTAAGGAGTGACTAGAGGGGCCAGTTTTGACTCCATCTAACAAAGAACATTGTGTGCAGATGTTAATTTATTCATTAAAAGCTATTAGGCTGTAATCTGTCCTCACAGAGCTTCACTCAGCCTCTCTTATCTTTAGTTGAGCTGAGCGTTGCATCCCTGAGTGGGAATCGGTCTGTAAGGTTTCTTTAAGCAGATACGAAGCTTATGATCCAGCCATGGGCAGAAGAAGAACATTTTATTGTACCCACCATCCAGCCCTTCTCGCCAAGATTTGGCCAGGTTGGATGAGGCTTTGGGCAACCTGGTGTAGTTGAGGATTTCTCTGCCCATGGCAGGGGGGTTGGAACTAGATGATCTTTAAGGTCCCTTCCAACCCTAACCATTCTATGATTCTATGCTGTTTCTAGTCTTTATCTGCTAAAATGCTGGGAGAGATTCTTTTCCCCCATGGGGCTAAAATCCCTGCCTCAGCACTGCTCCCACGAGGGACGAGGAGGTATTTTTACTTTCGGTAATTGACCGCTCCCAAATCCAAGACCACAGCTAGAGCCAACTTCTCTTTTTGACAACGTCAGCAGGATTAGCTAAATATTTGATTTTGAGATTAAACCAGCCAGCCTGGACACAGGAGTCTGCGTCCAGCAGACTGAGGCGTTGCATCAGGCTGCACCAAGTGTGGGACGCTCCTCTCTGGGGTGTCCATCACGGCTGTCGGTGGCTCAGAACATTGGGAATGCATTGTGCCACTCTTTCTGGCTGCATAGCCCAAAGGATAATGCACAGACTCCGTCACGAGAGGAAACCACAGCACCAATAACACTGATCACTTGAGATAACTGATGTCTGCACATTCAGAGCTGGCACCTAATCTGAGGGGCAGAGAGGGTCCCCTCGACTGAAGGCAGCCAACCCATAGCAAAGTTGGCCTGTACTGGCAAGATGTCCTGCAAAGGCTGGAATGAAGTGTGCCCGCAGAATACAAGGGGTCTGACACCTCGCTTTCATTAAATACAGTGCATGCCTGAAGACCCCAGCTTCTGAAAGCTTCTGAAAGCCGAGTCAAAGGCATTTGTCAGCCGAGCAGCATTGCCTGGGTAGTCTTTTAAGGGCATCATTGCCTTGTTTGCATTGTCTAGTGGCAGACACTAGATTGATGTTCCTCACCAGTAGATTAGGTAGGCTCCAAATTGCAGCCAGCTTACCCCCACGCTGGATGCCAATTTCCCTGGATCCTTGTATCCAGGATGCTCCTCCTACAACAAGAAGAGTTTGTACCCGATGGTCATGGACAGGTGATTTAGGAGCGTGCACTGAGCAAGAGATAAACCTACTTGGTCTCTCTGCTTTGTGTCGTGCTATGGTGAGTGCAGCACTGGCAAGAAGCTTTGCCAAGTGTTTCCCAGGAGGTGAAGCAGTTGATCTGTTTCTAATTCTTCCTCCTTTAGACAATCCACTGGGATTCTACTTCTGTCTGTGTTTCTTCCTCCTCACCCACCTTCCAGTCCCCGGAATTAATTCAGCTGCTTCACCCCCACTGGAACATCACACGCAGATCTGTAGTCGGTTTAGTTCAACAAACCATCAAGATGAAACCGTTCAAATGCAGAAAGAGAAACAACAAATCAGAGCAACATCAGTCGTGGGAGAAACAGTCCAGTGGGGTCTCATGTGAAACAACTCCCAGGAGGACATGTTGAGATGCCAGGAAAATTAATTATCAGTGTAACAAGCAGAGGGTCTAAGGAAAGGTTTTTGCTGATTCACGAGGTATCCCCAAGAGCAGTAGACTGTTGGAAAGAAATGTTAGTTCCTTCTTTTTCTGATGGGAGAAACTGGATGCGCAGCTGTTGTGTATCTCCCTTTCTCACTACGTTTTCTTGAAGCTCCGTGTACAGCATTTCTTGCAGAGCAGCTGCAAGCAATGCTGTAGTTTTCGGAAGTCATCCAGGTTTTTGTTTACGAAAGGGGCTTCTGAGCTGCTGAGTCTCCCAGCACTGCTCCAGTACTCGGACACAGCTCTCCTGGCCCTGACTTCCCATTAACGCTCCCTCTCACAACACAAACCAGCAGCTCACTGGGGTCTGGTGATAATGTGTTTACAGTGTGCTTTGTGCAACTGGGGAGCACGGTCCATGGGAGCTCTGAAAATGCCAGGTTAATGCAAGTAATAACAGTAATTGGCAGCGAAATGCCTGTCTTCTCTTATTAACCGTGCAGTAACCTGTGTGGATATAATTGCCCTTTCCAATCTTGCTTAACCCATTACTATTTTGTCCTTTTTGTAATAAAGTATTTAGAGAAGGTTTCTTTATCACCTGAGGTTAATTCTCTGCCAGCCTTAAAACAAACAGACAAAATAAAACTTAAAAACCTCCTTGATTAGGGACAATTTTTAAAATAAGTTAGGCTGGGAGCCTGGCAGACAATTGGATGTGCGTGCTAGAGGCTTTGCAGGATCTCTTAATAGCTATTATCTTAATCGCTTTCCTAAAGACTCTCAGTTGCCAGAAGTTTCTGGTAGATCTTGCCCAGAGCTACTGCTTTGCTGTTCTGCAGTGCTGTGGCTGAAGCCTCTCAGTGCTTCTGATGGGGAGCAGGAGGACGAGGCAGCGTCCTCCTGCATCTCTGCGGGATATATGGACCGACTGCACGGGGTGGGAAAATGAACTGTTGGCACTGGCAGCTGAGCCAGTGTAGAGGAAAAAAAAATAAATTACAGTGCCCTTCCTAAAAGGTTATTTTAAGGTAGTTCACTTGCTAAAGAAGAAAGCAACAAGATCTTATCTATAATTCCCTATGTGTCCGTGCTGCTTCTAGATACTGCCCTTTTTTAGACTGCAGAGAGTTGGAACAAGGGCTTTTGGTGCTGTTGGCTTATTCATGATTTTGCTGAAGCTTTCATAAGAAAACCGTCACAGCCCAAGCTCTGGTTCTTGTTCTCTCCTCAGCCTCTCTAGCAGCACCACAAAGAACTGAACAGAAGTTTTGCCTTATGTAAAATGGACTCTTCTTGCAGGTCATCGTGGGAAGTATATTTGAAGTTATTTGGGCTGCAGTGAAACCGGGTACCTCATTTGGCATCAGCGTGTTGAGAGCTCTTCGGCTGTTGAGGATTTTCAAAGTAACAAAGTAAGTCCAGCTCCCTTTCTGCTCACGTGAGACTTCTAGTACTCTGTATCACCAGCTCCACAGCAAGTAGTAGTGCTTTCCACACTTGTAAAAAAAAAACAAACAACAAAACAAAAAAATACCAACAGTAAAACTCCCCCCTCAAAACACCCTGTACCAGCTGGCACAAAGGGCTTGTCTGTCCTAACATCCTGTGTCTGCACTGGGTCTAGTGGGTGGGGAGAAGAAAATTGCAGATGCAGAATTGCCCTTCCCTTGGCCAGGCAATCTGGGTTTCTGGTAATGGAAAGTTTAGGGAGTTCCTGAGCCAGAATTTACATTTATAAGGTCTTTAACAGCCCTTTCCTCAGCCTCATGCATGGGTTTGTCTGCCCTTGGGCAGAGGGGTCCACAGTGTAGTGATGGGTCACATGAGAGCATGCTTCTTTGTTTTTTAAGCTTGCTTAAAACGAAAATCTCATGAGGTGATCCTTTATTTCTTGTGGTAAGTGGAAAAAAAAATTCTTATTTGCTTCCTAAGCCCCATCAACTGCCTGCTGTCCTTATCTGCTGCTGATCTGATGATAGTTCCTTAAATATTTAGGAACTAGTAAACTGATGGATTAACTGGTAAACTACCCTGGTTATTGCTGGATACTAAATCCTGGTGCCTGAACCACTCTGTTGACACAAACACGAAGTGTCTTTATGCTGCCTGTGCTGTGCCTGGTCTAGAAATGTCTGAAGTTTTCTGCCCTGAGCCCGTGAAGTTGAATTTTCACTGGAGTTGGGTTGCCACAGCTTTTCAGTTGTTTTCATGCTCATGCATTGCGTTAATGTGTGCTGGCATTAGCAAACAGCTACTGTGCAATTTATAAATCCACCTAGAGTGCTTTCTGCAGGATTTCAAAATTGTAGTGTGGAAGTGGATGACATATTTGGGTGCTCCTGCTGTTGTTTTCTACATTTTTTTATGGGTTTTTTTCATACCATTACCTCCTCAGGCCTCCCCTCTTTCCATCATTCTCTTACTTGTTCTTGGCTCAAGGCAACAAAAAGAGGAATAGCACCTCCCTCCAAAAAAACCCCAACCACCCAAATAGATAAAGCATAAGTTGTCACACTTGTTCAGAACAGTCATTTGAAGTAACCAGGTACTTTTGCAGCTATCCAAACACACGGATTTTGTTAGCTTTGTAGGGTTTGCTTTTATCTGCTGATCATTATGCAGAGCCAAGACTTGTGTGTGATACTGTGTCTTTCGTGGGACAAAGGGGTTGGAAACATTAAGTTCTGCAAATGTCCAGCAAAAGAGGTGGGCACCTGCCCTCAAAATATCTCTTAGTCTACTTTTGCACTAATATTTTTTTATGGAATACTCCAGATTTTGTAGCAAATTCATAGCAATTAATTTTCAGCAGCTACCTTTATCCAGAGCTACTGAGATTTAACGTATCTGATTGTGTGTTATACTTTTAAAAATTCTGGACATTTTTGCAAGTTAAAGTGATCTCTTTGTGAGCTTTGATGATTCAGGATTTTAGCCAGCATAAGAAAGGGATGAAGCCTGAGATTTAACTCAACAAAGCGAATCATGGAGCAAGCTGAGTGCTCTCCCCCTTTTTAGGACAGCGAGTAAAGTTGATGCTGGAGTTCCCTTGACCTAATTGAGTGGATTTTTCACCTGACATGACACAAGTTGCGTTACCAGAAGCCGGGTCACCCCCAGGTGGCAGCGGGATCTCTCAGCTGTACTGGACCACATTATCCCAGTGCCTGACTGCACAGCTCAGTCCTACCACAACTCACAGAGAGCAACCAAAGTGATGGCACCGAGCACAGACCGCTGCCCACCCGCTCCCATTACAGTCTTTACTGTGGAAACACCCTGACCCTCAGTAGTTTTCTTTTTTTCCCTTTTTCCATGTCTTTTATAGCAATTTTCCCCTGAAGACCCCTGCCCTGTTTGTGGTTTTTTTTTGCCTCTGTGTTTAATAGAAGCCATTTGCAGTCCACCTACTTTGAATAATTGATGGTAATAGACCTTCTGATTCCCATGTCCCAAATCAGTGTGACTGCAGGTGGCAGAGCGATGCGATAATTAAGAAGTTAAATTACAGCCGGCCCGAAGGGTGACAGCAGAACGCACTACGGGGGGACGCAGCCGAAGAGGGGGTAAAATTCAGTGAGGAAGACAAGGAGAAACCAGCTTCACGTTTTCCTCTTTGTCATAAAAGAACTGAATGGGGACTGGCATCTGTGGAAATGCAACTCCTGGTTATATCCTGGCGCTCTGCAGCGAGCTGGGGTTTGGTGCTGAGCTATTCCAGGACGAGACAGAACCTCCACATGTATTTCATGTCCGATCGTGTTAACTGCGAGGTGCAAACCCCTTGCTTGTGGCACATTCTGCCTGAAACCGTTGTGTCAAGCAGGGGAGAGGCATGTGGTCAGCAAACCCTTCCTCCTTCTCCAGGGAGAGCAGCTCGGCCCCTTTTGTTTGGGGCTAACCTTGAGTGGGTTTGGTTGCAACTTTTTCAATTGCAAATATTCTCCCAAGAGACCAAAGTTTCCACTGAAACCTCTGTCACTGTATTATGGTCATAACTTTTCTTGGGGTGGGTTCAATGGGAGTGCAAGATCCTGCTTCTCCTGGGATGGACATGCCTGTATCATCCTCAGCACAGAGAGACGTGAGGTGGTTCAGTCGTCCCAGCTACACCTCGGGGAAGGAAGAGGAGGAAAATGAAGACAAAGTGAAGAGAAAGGACGATGTTTCCGCTCTTCTGAGTCAAGCCCTCCATCAGCATATCAGACAAATCCATGGGGCTTCCTTCTGCTGGATGCCCCCAGCTGCACTGCAGGAAGGAGCTCAGTGCGTGGGCCTGTCCCCAGAACTGCTGCTGGAGGACACGCAGGGCAGGACAGCAGGGCACGCTGCTATGGAGAGTGACCTCTGGATGGCAGCTCCCAGCACCTGGTGGTGGAAATGAGAGAAGACAATGGAGAGAGAAAAATTCCCACCCATGGTCTCAGACTCAAAACTTTTAACAGAGGACACGTGAAATGGCTTTCAATCACTCGTTTCCTACTGCCTGCTCCAGCCTCGTTGTTCTGCACGCCTGTCTGTCCAAAAGGAGATTGTCAAAGAGCTCCTCTGCTTAATAGCTCTTTCTGCATTTTCTGATTCATTAGTTTTCCTAATATAAACGCTCCCTGCCTGTGCTCAACAGGGCAATAAAGGCAGGAAAGAGAGCTGTTTCTGAGCACCCTCCCTGGCACGCCGTCACTCGGAGTGCCTGCCTGCGAGTGTGCCAGGTGCCATCTCGGGGGACGGGGGAGAGAAAATCAAACTAACTTCAGCATCTGGCCAGAGGTGACTCGGATGTGTCAGTCGGGATTTGGGCTGAGCCATTCCCTCTTGTCATGTTGGAGCTAATGTCCCGGATTTGTTTTCATTCTCTGAGGTGGTCGCTTGGTCCTGGATGCTTAAAGCGTGTGGGCGAATTGCCCCACACTGAAGGCATCGCTGTGCGTGAATGTGTGTGTGTGTTAAATGTCCACAGAAGAGTTTAAGTCCACTGGTGGATACTGGTATTCGATAAGTTGGAAGGACACACTGCAAAGACATCCTGGTGGAAACGTGCTGTTTATTCCTGATCTGTGTCTTGTGAAGGGAGGGGTTCAGTGTCCCCTCGTTCAGTCTCACCTTGCTGATATCGATACATCCCTGGTTTTGACACCCTTGCTCACTGCCATGCCGGATGAGAAGATGCAGAAAGGTCGAAATCTATACCAGGAAAGGGGTTACTGAGAAACTAAACCGAACACTTTCCCTGCTCTGCACGGGTACACATGCACCAAGGTGACCACCTCTGCCCTTGCAATGCTACAAGAGGTTTTGCCACTCAGTGAGTTTTTTCCAATCATAGAGGGGAGTTTAAGATGCTGATATTCCTTGCCTTTCTTTTCCTTTTTTATCATAAGAAAGTAGATGGTATTAGTTTCTCACCAAAGGCTCTTCTCCCACTCATGTCATCTCTTGGCTGCTCTGATCTCCAACGCAGGTATTGGAATTCCCTGAGGAATCTGGTGGTCTCCTTGCTGAACTCCATGAAATCCATCATCAGTTTGCTCTTCCTGCTGTTCCTGTTCATTGTGGTGTTTGCTTTGCTGGGGATGCAGCTCTTTGGAGGACAGTAAGTCTCATCAGTCGTTGTCCCGTCAGGGGTTATCTCCAAGCAATCACCTGCAATGCCTGAGAGGTAGAGGGGCTGCAGGGCTCACAGTGTTCACATCGTGGGTGCAGGTGTCAGTCTTTCTGGGCTGCTGAGATGGGATCTCTGGTTTATAGGAGAATAGTTCCTGTTCTGGTGTTTTTCCTGGACCTGAATACATAGAATCACAGAATGGGTTGGGTTGGAAGGGACCTCAAAGATCATCGAGTTCCAACCCCCCTGCCATGGGCAGGGACACCTTCCACTACACCAGGTTGCTCAAAGCCTCATCCAACCTGGCCTTGAACACTGCCAGGGATGGGGCATCTACAGCCTCTCTGGGCAACCTGTTCCAGTGCCTCACACCCTCAGAGGGAAGAAATTCTTTCTAGTTACTGTAGTTCAAAGTTCCTGTATCATTCTATGGTGCCCATGAACACCCAGATCTCTGAAATAGGACTGAAGGAGGCAGCACTTTTTCTAGTGTGAGGGGAAAGGCAAGTGATTTGGGTGACAGCCAGAGCAACCGATTGTTGTTGGGTTTTTTTTTTTTCATTAGGAATATTTTTCTGCTGGAAAACATAGTTTTATTGAATCTAATTTATTTTCTTTTCTAAGAAATGGCAGTTGTGATGAAAGGAACTATCACAATATCACCATTGGAACTCCAATATCATTTTTGAAATAAAGTAACTTGTTTTTTAATCAACCACTGTTTTATCTTAAAAAAATTAAAATGAAATTACCTACTAAGAGGGCAATTTCAATTTTGACTATTACACTTGAGAACAAAAACTTATTGGAATGGTTTGTTCCACAAAAAGCATTTGAGATTTTGATTGTTCGTTTTAATCGTGGATGAAAATGAATTTCAAAGCATCAGAATTTTCTCCAGGAATAAAATTGTTTCTGCTAATAGTTCCGTTAAGCGTCTTCTCAGAGATGCTGTGTTCCCCGCTGCGGTTGCCTGGGGTGTTATTGCCAGGTGGAACAAATGCTGCTCTCTGACTTGGGTTACAGGGTATTATGAGACTGCAGGAGAGTTGATTGTCCCTTAATGCTTTTGTTTTTATGTCTTACTTCTCTCTAGATTCAATTTCCAAGATGAAACACCAACCACGAATTTCGATACCTTCCCTGCTGCCATCCTCACAGTATTCCAGGTAAAGCCATCCCTTGTCCTGAGTTGAGCATTACAAAATAAATTCCTGAGCATCTCTTCCTGCTTATGGGGAGCAAAGACATCCCCCAAAATCTGTAGAATTTAAGAAAGAGGAAGTCCTTCCTTCTCATGTATTTTGCCACACTAACCAATCAATGCATCATTAAAAATCCATGCCTTGGAATTAAGGAAAATTAAAAGAAAGGATTTTTTTCCTGGCAAAAATATATTGATGAAATAGAGTTTTCTATGCCCATCTTAAAGGCTGTGCATGCCCAGGCTCTCTTCTTCTGAGGCCCCTTCTGGGGCTTCACGCTGCAACGGCAGCACTTGCGTGTGCCCCGCTGCGTACATCCTGCGTCAGAAATCCCGCTCGAGCTGTTTCCCTTCCTCCTGTGTTTGCCATAATTTAATGAGGAGCGAGGCCTGGGCCAGCTCCAGGCAGTAAGGAAACAACTTCGCGTTTTGCACCGTGTTAGCTCAAGATAAGACAATGCTGGGTAAGAATTACAATCCGGGGGGGGCACAGAAAGAGGCATCAGCCTTGGGCAAGTTCGCGCGGTGGCAGGATGAAGCCGCCGTTGTGGCAGATGCGACGCTCAGGTCCAAGAGCCTAATTTTGCAGCTGCTCTCTGCGTGCCTTTTTTAAACCATTATTTCAGGTGTTTCAGCAGGGAGCTGGGGGTGCTGCGCCCTGCTCCATGCCCGGGTAACACTCACCGGCCCGTGGAAGAACACCCTGCTTCTATAGCATTATCCTACACAGATTGTTGATGTGGGCTCAATCCAAGGCTTGATCCCTGATCTGACGAGATCTTAGCAAGGCTTAAATTATGTATTTCAGTGTCCCGTCCCAAAAAGGACAAAAAAAAACCTGAACAGTCAATGACAATTTTTGGATCAAAACAGAAAGCGGGTGTAAAAGAAAACGTGTCCTGTGGCCTCTGCA